TAAACCCTAAGCCCTAAACCCAAACAAACCTAACACAAACCTCTACTAGGCTCTGACGCCACCTCGATCGCAGCCGCCCAAAGGCGCCCAGGTCCCAGTCCACCTCCGCCGCTCTTGGAGGCTGAACGTTTAGGGTTTAGGATTTAGGGTTTAGGGTTTAAGGTTTAGGGCTTAGGGTTTAGGGTTTAGGGTTTAGGATTCAAGGTTTCGGGGTATTGGGATAAATAGCCTTACTCATAGGCCCCATAGTAGTTCCTTTTTGGGGTTACCTTATAGGATTCTATATATGAACCCCAAAAGGAACTACTATGGGGCCTATGGGTGAGTCCAAGCAAGCCCGAAAAAGTTTGGGGTTTATAGGACATAGGATGGCTCGGGTTGAAGCATCAACGCCAAGTTGAAACAATAGCCCGGGGGTTTCGGGTTTGGGGTTTAGGGTTTAGGGTTTAGGGCCATGCCCCTACGGATCCCTTTCTAAGTACCTCTACTGCGCATGGTCACGACATGGTCCCCTGCTTAGGATCAATATCACGTCAAGACTATTCGTAATTCAGGGGCCTTGGCAGCCTACATGGTTGCCAATACTATTTGGGGGGTTCATTATTATGGTTGTAGCATGATATGCCCCAAAAACCCTATCCTAATTCTTCAGGCCCCTATATTGGTTCCACATTGAAAGGGTCTTGGATGGTACCGCTGCTGGATAACACGACCCATTTGAATGATGGTATGTTCAAAAACTAATACCATGAACCCTAAACCCTAAACCCTAAACCCCAAACCCTAAACCCTAAACCCTAAACAGAAGTATTGGGCTCTCTGGGGCCAGGAGGATAAGAAACCGATATCCCGAATCCTACCACTCAAACCCGCAGAGCCTTGATCCATAGTCCGAAACCCAAACCCTAAACCCTAAACCCTACACCCTGAATCCTAAATCCTAAACCCTAAACCCTAAACCCGAAGATCCGTAATTCCTCCAACCCATGAGCTCCCAATCCTCGACCCGAAAACCCCAGCATGAAGAGCCATGATTCAGAATTTAGGGTTTATTGGGTTTCGGGCTTATAGGGATTCAGAAACCACAAAAAGAGGCCCAACTCCTAGACCTTTAGGGGTTTAGGGTTTACAGTTTAGGGTAAGAGTCAGAACCCTTCTAATTCCAGCAAGCGAGCCCCAAAAAATCCGAATTACTCATCTGCTCGGTTTTTGCACAGGCCGTCAGCAGAAACTCCGAACTTAGAAAGCTTGACTACTAACGCTACACCATAAAACATGTTGCCAAACTTCAAAACTCAAGCCCTGGATTTACTTGTCCGGTAGCCTACCTTAAGAACCCCAAACCTATTTTTTTGTAGGGTCCCTATAAATCCCATATTAGGGGTTATAATAAGAACCTACAAAAAAGTGGGTTTGGGCATCTTAAGGTAGGGGCGCCTCAGACTACAGTAACGTACCTCCAAAAAGGTTCAAGGTTGCTTGCTCTACGTCTAAGATAGGAGCCATAATAATTGGAGTAGGGTCTTACGGCCCATTATACTACAACTGAAACAAGAACCACCCCCCCTGGGATCTCGGTGGTGCAAAAGTCGTTGTCGCAATGTACCGGCGATGTCTGCACGAAGACTTGCGTCAAATGCCAAGTCGCCTGGTAGTATTCCAGCGACGCAAAGCAGTTGCAGCAACGAGTCGATGAGACAATTGTGTCCCAAACCGGAAGCGCTGCCGACGACGAGCCCGCAGGCCCGCAACGCCTCGCGAGCTTCGCCGGTGGCGATTCCCGGGGCATCCTCTTCGCAATCCATCTGCGCTTATTACCCTGCCTCTAGAACTTTGGGCCACTCGCGCGAAACGTTGCGCACACTTTTCCAGCTGTATCTGCAAATCTTGAACGACGTGGTGCTGGAATTCTAAGTTGCTGCTGTGATTATTGCCGAGCTGCTGTGGCAGTTAACAGCCAGGATCCAGGAGTCTGAGATACTCGAAGGCACAACCTACTCCCACACCAACCCAAGACCAGAACAGCATATGTTCTCAGAACAATTACAAACAACCGTTTTGAGCTGCCTGCGCAGACGTCCTTCGCGTACGCCAACCATTCTGTGCGGCATCGCTTCTGCCACATGTCGACTCTCTGACCACTGCAACGAAAACACCATGTACCTACGTTCTCACTGAGCTTTATCCGTCGGACATGCTGCAGTTCCGATCTTGTGTTATGCCGTACTCACTACCAAGCGTCATCTACCCAAAGAGCAACCGCTACACTGACTCGTCCCAACCATAGATCGTTTGCTGAACTACTACAGAGGCCGAAATGAATTACACCAGCAAAGCTTGTTAGCAATGGCCTCTCCGCAAGGGACAGCCTTCCACGTTCCCACAAAGGAGCGCCGCAATCTACAACTGCCGGTGAATTTACGTCCGCTTAACGACTCCTGCCGTTGCTACTGTCACAGCTTGCACTAGCTTCCACACACGTCGCTCCACGCAAGCGCCGGCAGCATTCTGTTGGCCCTCGCTCTTAAAAACCTGCACAATCGGCGTCGAGACGGCAGCCACTCCACCCCTTTGCTGGCAAGCTTCTCTATTGACTCTCGGCTACACTGTCGCACCGCTGGCTCCCGCCCGATGCCGATCACGATCCTACTCACACATGCTTTAGTCGCTAGTGATGACATGGCCTTCGTCGTAGATCCACATGGTCGGGGTCGCGTCCCCGCGCCCGGCCCCTGGGGCCTTCAAGAAACCGAAAGCTACCACCACCTCGTCGCCTTCCTTTGCGTCCAAAGAAGCATGGCGACCGGTAAGGGTCACATCCAGTTTCTCCCCCGTCGCATCCGTAAGCGACAAAGATATGAGTGGCGATCCCCTCTCGCTGAGATACTCCCCCGACGACTCCACCACCTGTGCTGTGCTACGCAAATACTCTCTGCTACTCGGTATATTTACTGATGCCGCAACACCTCTCCCCTTTCCTCTCTGTACCTCCGACCTATGGTGTCAGTTCGGGATTGGAGTGCAAGATAGAGGATACGGGAGGGCCCAGCGCAAAAGCATAGGTTCACACGACCCTGGTTGTGCATCTATCATTTTGAGCCCGTTTTCTCGCGATGCCATGAGGGTGTCAGTGCAGGGTTCGTAGTCGCCGGCGTGCCTAGCGCTCGGCGTGTGTGCCTTCCCGTTGATTCAGATAACGGTCTATTGTTTACGGAGCCACAAGACGATTGGTGTCTACGTGCCTACGGAGCAACAAAACGATGGGTTCACAGGGGTCTGGTTGCGAGCCCCTCGTTTTGGGTCCCTTTTGTCCCGCATTCAT